TTGCACGCGCAACAAAGGCACACACATGCTGTATATGAAGGAGGGTCACGTGCATGGGTCGTCTACTTGCCCACGGTTTAATGCACATGCGGGCCTGCTTTTCTGCACAATTGGCATGCTTGGCGTAGAGCTACAACTAGTGGCCAAACTTTAGACTCTTTTTTACATAATTTTCATATGTTTTTATCCAAAAATCAAATGGGATAAAAGCTGCACTTATTTTAAGATTTAAATTATTATTATTTTAATGTCAATCTATCTCTTATGACTATTTAATTATTATTTTAAGTTATAATTTAGGATAAAATTTTATCTTCTAACTATTTTATTAATTTTTAAGTCTTTATATTCATTTAGAACTATTTCGAAAAATATCTATATAAAGGCCTTTGTCCATAGATTGCAAAGATACAATTCAAAAGATTAATAAAGAAAGCTTTTGCTTAAATTAGCTCTGCTAGTTTTCATGTTTTTCAAGCGTTTTCAAGGTAGGAGCTTTAGACTGTTTTGTTCAGCAGGGAGTCATAGATTGACTTATTGAGTAAGTCTGTGGCATCCTTCTCTATTTTTTTTATTTTTCCAGTTATTTGGATAAGTTTTTGCTTAGTCGACTGTGATTCCAATAAGTATGATTTATTTTAGGTATTTAAGTTTTGAATTGTCGAATATAGTGGGTTTGAGATCGAGGTGTTTTTCATCCATGGAGTAAACGAACTCTACCCTGCGTCATCAAGGGAGATCAAGATTCTTAAAGATGTGAATGGGGAAGAAATATTATGTTAATAGTTTTCTTAATTGTTTTATGTATTTAAATTAAGATTAGGATAAGACTTAATTATTTTAATATTTATGTATTTGCTTTCTAGTTAAATTAGATCCTAGAGTTTGGATATAAATTCTAAATCCTATTCCAAGTAGAAATAGAAAAAAAAAACTCTATATAAAGGCTTAAGATCAAGCTTTGTAACAATAACTTTGAGAATTAATAATATTGAAGTTTTGACCTTTTCTTTAAATTAGTTTTTGCTAATTTTTAGTATTTTCAAGTTCTTCGAAGGTAGAGATTTTTTCAAAATCTTATTGAGCTGAGGAGTTGGGATCGACTTATTAGGTAAGTCATGACGCCTTTTTTGTCTTCGGTTTAATTTGTCTAGTTCTTATTTTTGCATGTCATATAACTAGGTATAGATTCGAGTAGAGGGAAGAGTTAGTTAGGCAATTAAATTTCTGAATTACATGTATTGGGTTAAGGTTTTGTGAGTTAAAATGATCCTTCCCATACCCTCCCGTGTTAAAATATTTTATAAATGAACTCTGCTATAGATTTGGTGGACCATCGCGAAAGGATTTCATAGAGAAATTTATTAAATTATCTCAAATAGGTATTATTCTTGACTATCTAGAACAATTTGAACACTTAGGATCTTTCATGGATGCAAATAACCCAACATTTTTAGTAAAATCTTTCATATTCACTTTTATCAGTAGCCTCAGGCCATAGTTACAACTCATGATAAGGCCCCTCAAGCCGCGAACTTTAATTAAACATTCGAACAAACTTTATTACTGGAACAATCTGTTATAGAAATGTCCCGAAGTTTAAATTTTATTGGCAAAGCCGCAAGATTTTCGGAAAGGTCTAAAAATTATGACCCACCTGCCCTGAGCTGCAGAATGGGATATGGACCGTAAAAGAGCAACGACTGCTTGCTACAAATGCGAAGACCAATACTTTTTAGGACATTGTTGTGCAAGTAAAATGGTAATGACTATAGATACTAATGGATATAAAGGAAATAATTATAAAAAGGGGGAGGGGGGGAAAATTAGTCTTTTATGTAACATTTAAGGTTAGAGTTGACCTAATTAAACCTTAATCATATATTCATTTCTACTGCTAGCGCTCATCACCATTTCATCCTGGTGGTCGCCACTGCGCATGTAAGGGTCGCATGATTTCGACCGCTGTTTTCTTTATTGTTTTAAGGCCTATAAAAGGCTATCTTCCATTGCTTATAATCATCATTAGAAAAGTAATAAAAATTAACTCTCTATTTCTCTTAAACTTGGGTCTTCTTTTTCTTCTCATTTCTTCATATCAAATCTTATGTCAATGGTATCTGACAAAGTGTTATTAAGATAGATAGATATATATATATATATATTAGTTCTTTAAATATTAAGTGGATAAAATTATGAATTATTTGTTAGAATTACGTGAGAAGTGTCAGTTTTCTTAGTATATCTAGAATTATAAGATTAACTTGGATTGTGATAATATTAATTATGCAATCTTATATGGCTTAGAGATGACATAATGGTGGGAGTCTCTTTAACATTATGTTAGAGAATGATGCTAATTATATTTGTAAATTTAATTTTTGTTTTTTAAAGATTTTTTACAGTACTAAGTTTTAGTTTATGATGCTATATATATATATATATTTTTTATTTCTTATATCAATTTTTTATTTGAATTTTTAGATTAATTTGTAATAGATTACTTATAGCTCAGTTACAAAAGTTTTTTTTGGCACATAGGAGAGGAAATCTTGATTATATTATTCATTTATGGGAATTTTATTAGTTATGTTTAATAAATGGAATTATATTTGTTATAAGAAAAAAAAAAACTAGTAAATGTATTTATTTTTGGAAATAGATATCAATATATAATTTTTTGAATACAAGAGCAAACACTACTTTTATTTCAATAAACACATAGAAATGAAAAAATGCAGGTGCTTCAGTCGTACAATCATATTAAAAATCATTAATTAATAAAAAAAAAACTATTGAGATAAATATTTTAATATAAATATTGTGTTGAAATTTTAGCTTATGAACATTTCTTTCAAAAAATTATCCTATCACAACAAAACATGACCCGACGACCCGACCGGTGCCCATCCGGTACCCGCCCATTGCAACTTTTCATAGCTACCTTCTTTTTGTGTTAGACTTGCGCTTTCTTTCCCGTTGTATGCTTCCAAAGCCCCGGAAAAACCCTCTCGTTTGCTGATATCTTTTAAAGATTAAAAGAAAAGATGAATAGTCCACCCCCGGAAGAAGACGATCAAGGCGAGGTTTTCATCGATGAATCTGATGTCATCCACGAGTTCACTGTCGATGAAGAAGGTTCTTTTTACTTTATCTATGCAATATGAAGCAGATTAGTAGACCTTATATAATCTTTACGTATATGTGACTCTCTGGCCTTGGATACAGATCTTCCTGATGCAGAAGATGATGCAAGTTCTGATGCTGAAAATATTGGTATTGCTTTGAGCTTTGATTGTAATCATTTGCGTTCTAGTTACTTTAGTTCTCTATGCAATTGATATGCTTTCATGTTTGTGTTTTTCTCATGTAAGAAAGAGGATGGCTTTTGGTAATTCGATTACGAGCTAAGCTTTTAAAGTTAAAGGGGATGATACATCGCATTAGCTTTTTAATATTTCCGTTTGAATTGTTGTTTTAGCTGACGTAGTTAATGGTATGTTTTTGTGCTGGTGTCTCAGAGGAGCCTGATGATTCAATGCACATATTCACCGGTCATACTGGTAAAAATTCCATGTATTTTCTACGTATTTCTATGGCCGGGTTATTTGTTTTTGTATTTATACACACACACAAAAACATGATGAAATCAAAATGATGGTTATGGAATAATTGAGGAGTCCGGTATAGCTTCAGAAGAAGTTTATTGAATATCAATGTTTTGCACATTTGCTTTTAGATAATAGTGTAGGCCGACCCAAACAGAATCTGAAGTAGCATGAGCAGAAATTGTATGCGATCTTGAACCTTTTACTTTCCGTTTTGTATTTACTTGTTGGCAAGGACTACAACCTTAGTAGGAGACTAAGAATGCATTTATGTTCAATTTCTTTTTGTTCTTCCTTTGTATTTGTACCGACTAGGAAATATTTGTTTAAGTAAAAAGTATAGTATTGAAAAACACCAAAGGGATGCAACCCATATAAAAAAGCTTTACAAGTTCATTATTAGCCAAGTCTCTTCAAAACAAAAACTTAGAGTTTGGAACTATATATCCTTGATTCTTTTGAAAAACATTATGCCCTCAAAAAGCTCTTTCGTTTCTATCCTTCTATAAAACCCATAATGTAGCCAAGGGTACCAACTATGAAACATTAGAAGGAAATGAATCATTAGTAAAGGTCCCAGCCCCAGTAATTTTCAGAAATTGATGTGCTTGCCATGATTTTGGGGCAAGGCATGTGTTTGTTGCTGAAAAGTTTATGATGTTACAGGTGAACTTTACGCAGTTGCTTGTAGCCCAACAGATGCTAGATTAGTGGCTACTGGGGGTGGAGATGACAAAGGGTTTCTCTGGAAAATTGGTCGAGGAGATTGGGGTTCTGAACTTCTAGGTTAGTGCAGTGATGTGCAGCTTCATGATTCTTTACTAATTATACTTTTTGCTATCTGTCTTCTTCTTTAAGATACAAGTATATGTTCCTGGTCGCTAAGCATTGGAAATCTTTTCTAAGAGGGATCTTTTATTTAGCTTTCAATTTGGTCTTTTATTCTCCCTTTGTTCATCGTTAACTTTATATTGCGTAAAATCTTCTACAGGTCATAAGGATTCTGTGTCTTGTTTAGCCTTTAGCACTGATGGACAGTTTCTTGCGTCTGGAGGGCTTGATGGGCTTGTTCAGATCTGGGATGCATCCTCAGGAAATATCAAGTGTGCTCTTGAAGGCCCTGAAAAGGGCATTGAGGTGAAATTACCGAATCCAACAGTATCTTTATTGTATTGTTGTTTCTTAAGATGGAATAACCAACATATGGACTTTCAGTGGGTTAGGTGGCATCCTAGAGGACATCTAGTCTTGGCTGGTTCTGAAGACTGTACTGTTTGGATGTGGAATGCAGACAGAGGTGCCTATCTTAATATGTTTTCTGGTCATGGGAGCAGTGTAACTTGCGGTGACTTCACGCCTGATGGTACTAAAACTCTCTATACTGTTGCCTTCTTCTGTGTTCCCTTTAGTTCTGGGCATATTCTAAGAGCTAGTGTTTCATATCATTTGCAATGTTATAAGTATTTTTTGGTTTTTTCCGGATATTGAAGGTAAAACAATCTGTACCGGTTCTGATGATGCAACTTTGAGAATATGGAATCCCAGAAGTGGTGAAAACATTCATGTGGTGAAAGGTAAGTATTCCAAATCCAGCTTGTTGTCCTTTTTCTCTTTGTTCCTTAACCAATGAGGTATGAGTTTTAAATGTCTCTGACATGTAGTTTGCAACTTTAGGTCCTTGTTAGTTTTTGAACTGCTTCTATGTAACTGGGTATTGAAATAATGCTCGAAACCTTTTCAGTCTTGTGGAGATAGATAGCAAATGATTCAAAGTGAAGAAACATGTCCTCGATTTATATTTTAAGTTGCATTAACTTTTTGAAATCTGTTGTTTCCTTGTTTAAATGTTCTTGATGGCTGTCAATTTGATTTTCTGATTTTATTTCTTTTGGAAAAATACTGAAGGTAATGCAAGATGGTTATCTCTTTTTAGGTCATCCATATCATACAGAAGGATTGACATGCTTGGCCATGAGTTCTGATTCAAGTCTTGCTCTCACCGGATCAAAGGACAGTTCTGTACACATTGTAAATATAGTCACTGGAAAGGTTTGTATTCTTTTTGCATTCACGACATTTATTTTCTTCTTATTATTTATGATAATTGCACTTTTTTTCAGCTTATGTTCTTCTTCAAGTGCTTTACCTTTGAATTTATACCTTAAGTTTCTCCATCTTCATTTGCTGTTGTTCTTGAATCTCGAACCTTGCAAGTATTTGATGAATTCACCTAGTTATTAAGCTTATTGTCAAGCACCTCCATCGAGCATCTACCAAAAAATTCACAATGGCGTTTAGCTTTCAAGAATTTGTTGCATGATCAGTTTCTGTGTGAATAGGTTGGTGAGATTACGACTGCTTAGTGAATCTGCAATAAAGTAAACTGTGTCTCTGTGGGGGCCTTCTATGTAGTTTAATTTAATCTTACAGATTTAAGGAATTGACTTTTGATGTGCCCACACTAGAGATCTGAGTAGTTCATGTTTAGGAACATGAGATAAACATGGCTAAAGTAGGGGGAGACAGATATGGAGTGTATATTGGCTGTTTTCTTAGGAGTGGCATCTACTTGGGGAGATGGTAGGGCTATTTGCCAACTTGTCTTGACTTTTAGTGACCCTTACCTACAAATGTTTCATCGATAGTCGCTAGTAAATACCCTTTTCCGAAACTATCACAATTTCTTATCATTTTAAGACAACTTATAGGTTTTATCCCATTTTCAGGACATCTAAAAGATTGGGAAAAAGTAATCATAAAATTTATTTCCAGTCAGAATATCCTCTGTTAAAAATACATTCTGTTGATCACCAAAGTGCCTGAATTTTTCAAGTGTACCTGCTGCTGGTAATTTATGGTTTATGCATGTTTGCTAATCTGTTTGCCACTTTATAGTTGTTTGTGCATGCTGTATGATTATTTTTATTTGTTATCCATAAGATGCTCTAATTGCTTTCATTAACAGGTTGTTAGTTCTTTGGATTCTCATACTGATTCTGTTGAATGTGTCGGGTTTTCACCTAGGTATGGTTTCCTCTCTCTCTTTCTCCATGTGTATGCATCTTTTACATGAATTTTAGTTACTGGTCTGATAACATAGACAAAAGAAATATGAAAATATAAACTATTTCAATATAATGGTGGAGCAAGGTTAATATTTCTTTTCTGCTTTTGTGCTTGGCTCTTGCTGGTTTTGAGCTTTGGTGCATTCATGATTCCCGTGCAATGGCGCCTCAGTCTGAGCAGTGTTAATGATTCTTTCTATAACTAGGGTTTATGATAGAGCCATAAGGCGTTCATTGGTAACTGCTAATGAGTCTCATCCATGTTTGATGTGTAGCAGTGAGGTCCAAATATATGGCAAGATATTTTTATTGAAGAACAAGGACTCATAGTTTTGCATCAGAATATCTGATTACATTTAATGAAGGCATTAATTGCTTCATTAAAAAATGTGAAACTAGGACTCATAGTTAAAGAATTAAGAGTTTATTTCATATGGTCTTTTTATTTTAGTTTTGGACAGAACATTCTTTCGTCTCTTGTGATTGTGGTTATGTGGATGCAGTCTATTTAATCTCATCACACATTTTTTTTAGTACTTTATCTCAGCATTCAAATCTTTGATTTATTCTTTTTCTTTAAACTCTTTGAACCCTATTGAATTCTTGCTACGTCAAATATTGGATACTTCTATTTAGAGTAGCCCTGTGATTAAGTTTCATAGTACATTGGGAAGGTTGAGGGCAACTATTTTCAAAATCTTATTAATTGCTATAGAAGTCATTAGAATTTATTTTTGAAAAAAGTCACTGTGATTGAAAAATCCCATAATACATGAGGTCATTTTTAGTTGCATGACGGGAAAAAGGCATCTCAAGATGCACCATAAAAGCCTTCTTTTTTTAAGTGTCACCCCTGTATATAGGATTACAATTCAGTCAATATATCAATAAAATTCCATAATCATCCACCCCCATAGTGTCATGAACCAAACACAAAGAACCTAAATAATGCAGCCATCTATTCCTCAATTTCAATAAGTCACTCTCAATCCCTTCAAATGCCCTTTGGTTTTTCTCCTTCCACACCACTCAAAAAATAGTTAGTGGTATTAAATTTATAATTTTTCCCCCCCTACAAAAACCTTCCCCAGCCCACAAATCATTTTTTTACATTACCTGCGGTAACCCAATTGATACCGAAAATACCATACACTGCAGTCTACAAACTGTAGGCCACCGGCCACCATAACAGAATATGGTTGCAATTTTCCTCAGCCCTTTTACACAAAAAACAACCGTTCACGAATATATTTCCCCTTCTTTTAAGTTCATCAATGGTCTGAAATCTTTCCCTTCCTGCTTCCCACGCAAAAAAGGCAACACAAGGAGGGGCTCTCACTTTCCAAATCTGTTTTACAGGGAAATCATTCTCTTCCGAGCCATTCCGGTTAACCAGAGAATTATAAAATGATTTAACCGTGAACCTTCCTTTCTTTTCCAATTTCCATACCAGTGTATCCCTTT